GGGAGTGGAACAGAAAGTCTAGATAGTCGAGTGACTGATTGATTAGTGCAACTCGTCGGAGTAATGGGGAAGAATGGAAGATAAAACACAAAGCAACGCAACTGCATAATTACATTATCTGCAGACTATTTACTACAAAACTGTAAATATAAATTCTAATTCTTCCGTAGTTCATTGTAAAGTTTTCACGTGAACAGGAAAGAATTCCAACTTCGGAGATACTGTTTTCCAAGATGATTTGTAAAAGTTATTGCAGATTGAAGGGTCATATGTGAATTATCCAAAATGTCTGGAAAATCACCGTTGTGCCTGTTTTGGTGGCATATGAAAGAGGGACGACTTTAAGGATAACAAATGAACTTGACTCACTGGACACATGATGAAGTTTGAAAATCTCTAATCTGCTTATCAAATAATTTGGTACTGGATATGTCGGTCCTACATTTATATATCAAGTACATTATATACCTATATATACGTATGTACAGATATGTAGATACACATCCTGCACATACTCTATTTAAGTACACCACTAACTCAGTAAAAGTCTCACCTTATGTGGTGTTCATTGTGTTATTTTTATCTATGACTAATTAAAGTTTGCAGAACAAAGAATGCAGAAGGTTTTAATTATTAGTATTCTACTTATTTGCACGAGTGCAAAATTGCAAGACCTGTACCACGTCCAGAATAAATCCTATTTTTAGAGCGTATTACCTTCATTGCTCCCCCAAGCTAAACTTTCACATTGATCTGGAATGCATTTGTACATACTTGTGGGTGGGTATCGTTTATTAATAATTCGAGACATGCAAATGAGATTGACAGATCTATTTAAAGTCGATTGGTAAATTTACATGCAAACTCTTTGTTTGGTTTTAGTAACCATACGTGAATGTATTGTTCCATATTTTGTGTGTTTAGGTCAGCGTGGTGGCAGTAAATGCAGACCGACTTGTTATTAGCAAAAGATAAGCAAATGTCGATTATCAAATTTATTCACTCACTTATTCTCATTCCAAATATTCAATCTAAACCTCATATTTTTAAGCATTGTAGGCGGCTACGTTCAACTACAGGTTTCAAGGCTTTAATGCATTTGCCATAGGCTGCAAGAGAAAATCGTTGTTGTTTTGTAAAAAAAAAATATCCACGGAGCAAAATTGAAATACAGGAAGGAAGTGCAATGTAGTTACTTTTAGCTTGACATGTTCTTTGCTCGCACAAATTGATTGGGAGCTCATTTACTGCAACCTGTGTCTGTGCGACGGAGCACTTAATTGCATTTATTTGCTTATTGGACTACGGTCGGTGGGGATGATTGACAATTTTTGGATTACATATTTAATGAATCGCTTACACTAAAGGGTGGTTTATAAACCTGTTACATGTTATCATAAGCAGTACAAGTATTACTTTCACCTATGTACGTGTAAAATTGTATCGCATACACAAACAAAATCAATTGTGTTCACATGACCAGGTAAATAATTAGTCATGTAGGAAAGGGAACACCTATGTTTTAGTTGGCGTCTTGTCTCCGAGGAGAAACTCGGAGAATCTGTAGCAGCAAAACCAATGGATAAGAATCGTCGCGTCGTAAGGACCCCACCGGATGCAGAAGAACCTGGCGAAAGCATCGTCTTAAATTATTTCGGACAAATAAATAGCAATCCTTCTCCACGTCCAAATTCTGGCGAAAGATTAACAACAATTAACGAAGATTTGACCAACGAGGCAGATAAACCCATTCAAGTTGATCTCCAGAGTCATGAATGGATTGGAGCAGTCTTGGTCCCCTGTGATTCTGACACTTTCGACGCAATGACTGAGGTTCCGCTTGACGACGACATTGTTCTTCCTGAAATTGAAACCAACGTCCCCCAAATTGATACAGGAAATCTGGAGCAGAACGAGGTAAATTTGACTAACTTTTTTTTCATCTTATGCACATCTATAAGGGTATAAAATACACATAATCATCTACTCGTGGAAAATGCACAATGACTATTTAAATTCTTATTGGGAATAACTTCAGCATGACAAAGTTTGCTAGTAGAGAGAAATTAATAATAAATCTCACATTCCCCTAACCTTGCAGACAAGCCCCTCGTCGTCAACATCCCCACCATTTCTCCTCCCCGTTGGCAACGACGACGAAGAACTTTCACCCCCAACTCCCCCAAATCTGCCACGCAAATCCACAATGAGTGAATCTGGCCCAATGCATAATAGCAACGCAAATCCACCACAACCATCCAAACCCCCCGTCAAGCGGCCCCACACTTCCCCACATTTTAGGTCATCTCGACCAGCCCCATTCCGGCCACGGTCAGTTGGTTCAAATGATCTCGATCGAAATGTACTCCAAAGCCACGTCACTCCCAAGTCGCCTCAGCCCGTCGTTCTTGAGACATCTTATGCAACAAAAATTAAACAATTTTTCACCAACATTCGCTCAATTGGTGCTGCCCCTGTTTTGGAAGAAAGCTCAGTTTCTGACGAAACATCACCCCTTGAAAATCAAGGGCAAAATGAGCAAGTGAGCATTGACATGACACTTAGAAATCAGAATGAAGATGAGAATGTGGAAAAAGGTGAAAGAATTTCTACACCACTTGAAACTTTTGCAACCACGTCAAAAATTATGAGACCATTCTCCGCCTTGCGATCCACATTGTCAAACACAAATTTTCTCGTGTTTTCCACCCTTCACATTTCCGGGTTTGACCCAGGCGATGACCATTCTGAGAATGAGGTGGATGAAACTGATACAACAGCAGCGGAGGCTGAAGTTGACGATACCAACGTGCGGCCGGGTAAATCTCGCCCACAATCCGCTCCAGCATCCGTGCATCCTCTTGACATCAAAGAAAGTGATTTGGATGATAAGACGGAACAAAGTTCAGGATCTCCCCCTTCGGGATCTGCCATGGTTGCCAGTGTGGCCGGGGGTGGAATTGGTGGCCTTGTCCACCAATGGATGAATGTGCAGAAGGCAGGAAATCGTCTTAAGAACTTGGCAGAAGTTAAGAGGAACTTGTTCCTTGCCCCACTTCAGTTTTTTCAGGCCATAATCAACGTGGGAGCCTGCCTTGGCATATGTCCTTTCTTCATTGAGGAAGAGGGTGGAGTCTTCAAGCTGAAAAGCAACCCCATCCTCTCGGTAAGTATGGAAAGCGCTTTATTTACATTACGTTAGAGTTAATTGTGCATGCAAATTCTGATTTTCATTGCCTACAAATGCGGTGTTATGCACGTATGACGCGTGAGGTTAGATTAAGTGTTGGATATTAAAATGATGTCATTTATGGATTGGGTTCAATCATTTGTAGCGGTTGTGTCTTACTCACGGTATTCATATTCACACATTGTGAATAACCTGCATTGCACGAGGACGTGAAGTATATAATTATTATGGAAGAAAAGGGGTAAAAATTAATGATTTCTAACGAATGCCAAAGTATAGTCTGTAGTGTTTGTTGTATCTGTATGGTACGGACGCGACATGCACCACACGACATTGCCCAAGTCGCTAATACAACCACTCAATATTTTATTATGAAAAAAGTACATGCTAATTTGTGCTTACTTTCTCTTACCTTACATTAGCTACAATAAATTGTGATAGAGAAGTCCCGTTTTGTCACAATTTTTTTTGTCCTTTCAAATTAACACGTATTACTTATAAATTTGTCTCTTGTCCGCTCAGTTATAACACTAGCAATGGAACCCTTTTTCAGGCTACATCGATATTGATTAGCCAATTATATATTTTTTAATCAAAACAAAAATTAGGACTCACATGACGTTTATAAATATTTATGCTGAATGGCCCCATTGAAGAAAATTATTGGGGTCAAATTTCACACGTCCGCCTTGGGTTTTGCCTTCAAATATTCCGTAAAAATTTTGTGTCACTAACAATGAGGAGGTGTGAGGTGGTTATCGCCGATATCCACCGGACTAATTTTAAATTGTTCAGGTTCAAAAAAAAGTGGACCCGTATTTTTTCGTTTTCCTGAATGGGCATGTTTACGCCCTTGGCGGAATTTTCAAAAAAAAATTTCAGCCAAAATTCGGATTTTTAAAAACGCTGTAACTTTTCGAATTTTAACCCGATTTCAAAAAATAAACCCAATTTGTGTTCAGAATTACATCCCTGAAAATATTAAAATTCATTTTTAAAAAATTAAAAAATTTGATATTTTCATGCTATTTCTGAGTTTTTAGAAGCCCAAAAAACGGTAATTTTTTGAAAAATAAAAGTTTTTTAAAAATGAATTTTTATATTTTCGGGGATGTAATTCTGAACACAAATTGGGTTTATTTTTTGAAATCGGGTTAAAATTCGAAAAGTTACAGCGTTTTTAAAAATCCGAATTTTGGCTGAAATTTTTTTTTGAAAATTTCGCCAAGGGCGTAAATATGCTCATTCAGGAAAACGAAAAAATACGGGTCCACTTATTTTTGAACGTGAACAATTTAAAATTAGTCCGGTGGATATCGGCGATAACCACCTCACACCGTCGCATTGTAAGAAATCTTTAAATATATACAATTTGTATATACCTAGGTATCCTCAACCCGATTCCTATTTTTTGCACCCTGCTGACTGTGAATTTAACTATTATATTCTGATTATTACCTGATTCCTACATACTTCTTACAACCAGTTGACTATGAATTTCATCATTTAGGGATTTGTGATTGCCCTCGTCACTGCAGCCACAGCATTGCAGGCCTTCTTGACGAGTCAACTTTGGTGCCGTACAAACTTGAAAGAAGAGCCGGAAACTGCTGTGTATTTCGTGAAAATGGCGACAACCACATTGCTCCTGCTCAGCTACTTGTTTAGCATCACCATAAATCAAAGGAAATTTGGCAAAATGTACAAAAGCTTCAACATCCAGTCCGAGAAGGCAGTGGAAGATGCGAACCGGCGAAAAGTAATGGTACGCAATGAAAATATTTTGATATTTTTAAGAATTTGCAGACAAATTTATTAAAGCACTGAAGTTAAAGATACGTCATTCATATTTTCTTTAAAACACTTCTGAGATTTTATATCCTATTAAAGTACGTAGTTGTGTTCGTCGGATCTGTAAAAGTAGAAATCAAGAAATTGTTTATAATCATATACGTATATGTATATACAAAAATACGTTGAGACAATTACCACATTACTACGGTTTTGCTTATTCTATTATATTCATCCATGAATGCTTGATATGCAGCTTGACCTTCACAGGCCTTGACGCATGTCTGCTCTGCCGCAAGATGCCAGAAATTATTGTCGTCGCAGTCATGCCATGCAATGGCTGTTGCATGACATTTTTTCTTTGACTGGTCATATCGCCAACCCTTGCCATGTACTATAGTACATCCGGTCATGTTGTTTTTCAAACAACCTGCAATTAATTAATCAGATTAGGTGCCGCACAGCTAGTAAGGACATATTTTCTGGCTCACGCTCAGCTGGATAATCTTTTTTCCCATGACAATCTGAAAGCAAGAAAATAAAAACTATTGTAATACTAATGGTGATAATTTTTTGCATTCTAAAATCGAGAACAATATTGTTCGTCAGTTGACGTCGTAATTAGGACTGTAAGATGCAAATACTATTTTAACAATAGGGTGCACACAAGCGTAACTTTTTATGTCCAACAATAAAATACTTCCGTTGAGAATGAAATATTTATTTAAGTATCGTAATTTAAGAACTAACTACCTACTCATTTTTGTATTTTACAGCTGCGCATTCTTACGTCATTTTTGACATTGAGCTTATTTGCACTGATAAACTATGAAGAGTGGATGTCAACCATTCATGTCGAAGGGTTGGATGGTTTAATTGGAAAGCTTGGAAAAGAATCCGAGAAGCTCGGAGTTTGGGATTCGTGCGCCAAATCATTAATTTGTAGTTCTATTGTTGGTGGATCAATGCTGGGGCTTAAAGTCATTATCAGGATGTTGCTTATCCAAAATGATCTGATCTTGTGGGGCGCGTCTCTCTCTGCGTATTTCATTGAAAGGGCCGCAAGGAAATTTTTCTTCAACGATAATTCTCCACTCGATATAAAACAAGTCAGTAAAATAAGAATGCTAGCCGAGGTTCAGTTTTTATCTACTCAAGCTAAACACTTGATTCTGTTTATAGGCAAGTGACATATTCAGGAGCATCAAGGCCCAAACTCATGCTATCAATTCCGCAATTGGTCCTATTGCGACGACAACGATAATGCAGATGATTCCTTTCGGTGTCTATGCCGTCTACCAACTAACCCAAGGAAGAATTGCTTTTTTTGAGATTTTTGTTGTCGTAATGAAGATTGGCCACATTGTAGTAGCTGCAGAAGCTTCGGCCAATGTAAGCAAAATTTATATCCATTAGTAATAAGTTGGTACACAATAATTTCCAAAATAAAAAGTTTGTAAATTCTCAAAAGACTTCAAATCTGGTGGACAAAATTCTAACGGAACGAGCAGTATTTTCTCCTGGCAGCGGTGAACAAGTGCAGGAATTTGTCATCGTCACCCGCAACCCGATCTGCTTGAAAGGTCTGGACTTTTTCGACGTCACGTACCAAATTCTTGGAGAGGTAAATACGATTCATTGTATTTTCGCACCATATTTTGTGCACAAAATGAGTCACATTCGACAATTTTAATTACAGATTTTGATCTACGTTGTCACGTATTTTCTTTTGATGGCGGAGTTACGACCTGACACGGACAAACAGAAAGCTGAGGATTACCAAAAAGTGCTTGAAAATGACGTAAATCGTAAGTTGCTTATAGGTATTGTACGCGAAGCTTTAGCCAAATGCACAAAATAAATCCATATCATGCTCCATGCGTGTAGATACAAATATTCTTCTGTATCTGTCAAAGGTCATTTGTGCATAATTCGTAGTGAGTGAAATATGTTTGCAGCTTTTAATATGATATACTTAATCATTCACAATTAAATATATAACTTGATGCCCAAAATAAATAAGGGCTACCATAGCATAATTCAGCAGTTGTAAATTTAAAAACACATTCTTACGTACCACAATGCTTTGCAATCATTTATTAAGTAAATACATATAAGTATTATGATATACGTATTTTATTGATAATACAGGCAATTATGCGCACACAATAGTTTACCTACTAGTTTAAAAATAGTGAGCACAATGATAAAATTGTTTTATTTCCACTAAGTTTGCATATCATCGAGGAAGCGTGATTTTGAACCCATTGAGTTACTCTCTGCAAGATGTGAAGAGAAAGTAGTGTTATGAAAAAAAAACAATTTCGAAAATCCTAAGCTAAGTCAGTTTTGGGCTAGTCGTCACAATTCTTAGGATAAGTTGTCTGTGAATGTACATAGAAGAGTACAAGTTTTTGGCTAGTTGATTACAATGGACTTGGACATTTGTGCAATGGGCGTTTTGTCATACGTATTGAACTAAGAAATGATTGAACATGAAAATTGCTAAATTATTTGCTCATTTACATTTTCAGAGTGGAATTTATTGATTAATATACCCAACTTTTCAACTTAATATGTTTTCCAGTTACTAGTAGATGAATATGTGAACTGCATAATTTAGATAAACAAAGACATTAAAAATCTTGTAACAGATAGTAATTTTGCAAAATTAAGTGCAGGTTTATATTATCTAAGTGCACAAATCATCGTCATGCAGTATTTTAAATATTTCAATAAGGCTGATACGTATTTAATATAAATAACACAAACTGATGTCGTCTTGTGAATGACAAATCGAAGTACGACAGGCTAACACATTTTGTCAATATTAAAAATTTTTAAACAGTGTAAAAAAGTATACAAAGTAACTAAGCAAATTAGATTGCACATTTGGAGACATGCCATGTTGCAGTACTTCATCTGAGAACATATAAATACATTATTTATTTATGTATGTTTAAGAAACACATTTTTAGCTTAAAATTTCTAAGATGTATTTACTTAGGCTAAAAATAGCAAAATATTTTGCAGTACTTGTTTTGCAAATTTCAAATTTGAATTCCAATGTCATAAAAATGATTGTAAAATTAGTACTTTGTGAAAATTTTTGGAAGACCATTTATTAATCCAATTTTTCAATTTGACAATAGTGTCCCATAGTCATTAACATTTTAAAGAACTTGTCTTACCAATCGAATATAAGATTTCTTATTTATCTAATTTCTAAATAGCAAATAGAAATCTTTCCAGAATCCCAATAAGTATTACAAACAACCCTAAGATCTTAATGCAAATATCTAGGATGAAATATATTTATCATATACAGAAAATGACATTGGCGTCACGTTGAGAGCTTAATTTTACTTTCCATGATTAATAAATAAAAAAAATTGAAATGGGCAGAAAATGCTACATAAAAATAAATTGGTTCTCATAAATATTATAAATTAACAATAACAAAACCTAAAGTTAATTTATTCCATTGTTGCTCCCAAAATTTATTAAATCACACAGCTTCTGCAAAGTGCAAATACAGCCAGGGTAAAGGTCAGCACAAATTAAATTTGTATACAAATATTTTTATTAATTTCCGTCAGAATCAGAACCTTACAAGGGAAGGTCCCCGACTGCTTATCGTGTCCAGGGTCCCCACTATGTTTTTTAGAATTTACTAGGACCCCAGATGAAGGATTCATTCTTATTTCCGTGTAACACTCATATTTGGCGTCGTGCCGTGGCGCCAAATTCGCCAAATTTGAATGTTTTATTTTTGAAACCGCTATAAATTTTGAAATCCTTGACCGATTTTCAAAATTTTTGGCAAAAATCATGACAAGGAGTTCAACTTTCGTATCCCATGAAATTTTTCGAAAAATTTTCGTTTTCAACTTTTCGCAAAATTTCGTAATTTTCTTAGAAATGGGGGTTCGTCGAAAAAATGCTGAAAATATCTCAAAAATTAAATTTTTTTCATTTTTATTTTTTTCTCTAAAATTTCGAATTTTGTGATCATTTTAAGCATAAAATTTTGAAAATCCGACATAAACTGCAAAAGTTATGGGGGTTTGAAATTGGTCGAAAATGCAAATTTTTAAGTTTGGCGCCACACCATGACGCCAAATATGAGTTTTACATGGAAATAAGAATGAATCCTTCATCTGGGGTCCTTGTAGACTCTAAAAAACATAGTGTGGACCCTGCACACGATAAGCAGTCGGGGACCTTCCCTTGTTAGAATGATTAACAATCATATTATGCAAAACTTATATAAAAGTGGATGTATCTACTTTTTCAACTTTGATAAAGTTATTTCATAAATTTCTTGGCATATATCTTTTGCATACATATGTGCATGCGGAAAAAATTTGAATTTTTAGGGAATTATTATTAATCTTAAGTATAGTGATGGAAAGAAAAAGTGATACCTAAATGTCGAGAGTAGTTATAATTAATGCACAAGTAATAGATATATATGTATGTATGTACATACATAGATACATATGAATTACTATTGTTGTAGTTTTTGGTTAGACCTTTAAAAATTAAAATAGAATTGTAGTAAAAATTAGAATGATGCACATTTGTAAGGAAAATTTAAAATTATGCATATTTACCGATGCTTATAGTGCAAGTCCAGTTATTTTAAAATGTAATCAATAACTTTTGATTTAATTTCTATATAAAACTTTTTAACCTATTAGCGACTCCGTATTTAATTCATATTGTTGAATTAAATACGGAATGTGATAATTATTATTACTTCATTACATTATACGGATTTGTGTCGTTTACATCGAGGAAATTAATTTTGAAATCAATTAGAGTTTTGCTTTTTATATACGTATGTAAGTAAACAATCTTATAAATATGTTATTCAAGTAAAAGTTTTATTAGTTTAGAATGCTTATTTATGTATTTAATTCCTTTATTCTGAAAAATATTACGAAATAAAGCACCTACATATATAAATTGTACATACAAATAGTTCACCTTGTAAATTAATTGCAAAAATTTATTTTTAATAACCTCATGAAGCGTTAGGAATTGCGATTCATATGTGAGATGAACACATGGTATGACAACGAGCTTGCAGGATGGATTAAAATTTGATTTAACTGTTTCTTTTCTGCTGGTAAGGATTAATTTGTTTCAAGAAGTAAAAGTTTACATGAGGCATCGCATGTTTTGCTAAAAATTAGAAAAAATTGTGTTACCTAAAAATCAATACATTACAAGAATAAACCTGCCAGCCATCTTAATTACACGTTAAATTCTACTAATCTCGTCGTTTGATAAAATAACGTTCATACATATCTGCAAAAAATGTAATGACCAATCATGTAAGATAATTTATAATTAGAAAATTTCTCCTATTGACGTAATTGTCAAAAGTTTCATTCATTTTCGGGTTGTGCCGGATTCGATGAGTAAATGACCAGGTCAAGTTTCCACAAATATTATATTTATCTATGTACATGTTTACTACCGGATACAATAAACTACATATTTATTTAGTTCCAACCCCTTCAAGTAGCAGAATAATTCTTCAAAATCAATTGAGTTCTATAAAGGATCAGAGCGCTGACAAGTTCGTTGCTACTTTTTGTCTCCATTCTCTCGTTAACCCGAAAAATAAAATTATACTTTGACAAATGAATCTGTTTCTACTTCATACAAACAAAATCCGCCTCTCCCACTGATAATCTGGCCACATTTTTCATCCCAAAATCACATTAGTTTCACCAGTCACAAAATCATAATGGAGTATCGAATGTCAATAATGGCTCGAATGGGTGGGGAGGATGCGACACGAAATACACTAAAGGCGAGAAAATAGGACCTTTTCAATTGCAGATTTTTTCACACTTATTTTAAAGTTTCTTTTAATAAAGTCGCATTTCGTCTCGACATCTCATCATCCATCCTTGTACAGTCGAACAATAGAGAAACGTGTCAGAGGACAAGGGCACGGGATGGATAAAAGTTGTAAAAAACAACAACAAAATCACTGGATGTGATAAATACAAAAGGACAAGAACGCGTGCCCCAACTACTACTACACATTTTGGATTGATGTCTCATGGGAGAATGCGTGTGATCCTTGCGTGGGGTATTATAAATACTGCGTCTCATTTTCATCACGTTTTTTATTATCACCTTATACGAGTGACTAAAAACTACCAAAAGTAACAAGATTTACATAAATCATACACTCGCACCACTACATATGTATCATCATAAAGGGAGAAGCTGGGCTCATCCAAATTAATAGGGATCCTAAAAAGCGAGCCTTTAGCAAATCCTGAATAATTCACATCAACGCCACGCGACCTGTCCGTCTTCACCGTGAAGTGTCACTCAATCCTCTCTTTGTTTACGATTAGTGAGAAAGTAACGATGCATGAAATAAAATAAACTACAGTAGAGTTTACATACTTGTATGTACATACTGGTAAATCGTATTAGTTAGTTCTCTTATGTAATTCACGTATATATGTAGGTATATTTTGTGGTTGATGATATTTCTCCCCATCTGGTTTATATCACTATGATGAAATTTCACAAAAAAAAGAGTATATTTGATATACTGTAAATACACCTTTTCATTATTCGCATTATTGCATTATTGCGCGGTACGAGTATTGTCATGTATTATACAGTACATACAGCCAAGTAAATTCAAAATGTCATAATCAAAGTTGTGGTACGATATTTTTTAGTTTGATGGACTCGACGCTTGAATAACGTATTTACAACTAAAGAAGAAATTGGCCCTGCCTTTGTTGCCTTCACAGGCTGATGCTAATATATTACTTGGAATTTAATTTGCTGATAAACATTAATTGGGAAAGGGGTTAAAAATAGGTCGACTTATACCACTTCATTTGTCTTCGAAAGGTGTAGTTTGCAGACCAAACCGAAATTCCCATTTATTAAGACTTCTCCCTGCAAAAGTTTACCCCTAAGATTAGTTATTTAGTTACTAAATGCGTGCGTCGTTATTAAGTATCTTGGAGCGTAGCTGGACATGTAGTCTGTGAATTGTCACTTATGCATGTCTCTCCGAAAAACATTTTTTCTGTGATTGTCATCCCTGTCAATATTTAGGGGGACACGTGGCGACACGCAATGTCCACAGCAGGACCTTACAAATGGGACATAATCGTAAAAACTTACGATACAAATTTATTTTTTAAGGTTTCGCCGTCCCGTCCAACCTCATCAGATTAAAATGATGTGACTGTGTGTGGTAGAAGTTCATCAGATCAGACCAACCATAAACAGCAATGCGGTGGCTGGTTTGGTGACTAGCTGAACTATTTCATTTTATTATATTTGCATTTATCTGGTTTCCCTTTAGACATGCACCGAGTACTCGGCTCTGCCGAGTACTCGGCAGGTTTTGGCCGTGTTCTCACTACTCGGACTCGGCCGAGTTTTTTTGCGTGCTCGGCCGAGTATTTCTTAATTTTTATATGCATCCAGTGTCACTTTATCCGGTAGTTACAGCGCGCAGTTCAAATTATCCATCATGTGATTTATGCAATCAAAGTCAAACTTACTTCAAAAATAAACCCGTGAAATTTGTTAATTCTATCCGGTAGTCAACTTTAATCGAAATGTTGGAACAGGAAGAATAATCAGTAGCTTCACGTGATTCCGTCCATCAGTTCTCAAAATAGAGGTACTGGTAATTAAATATTATGTAAACAATGATTTTTTTGATGATCTTTTTGACAATTTACTCGGTGGCCGAGCCTTGCTCGGTACTCGATTGCCTAGCTTAGCTCGGTGCTCGGCAAACGAGCAGAAACGAGTACTCGGCAAAAATATAGCCGAGTACTCGGTGCTCGGCCGAGTCGACTTTTTCGGTACTCGGTGCATGTCTAATTCCCTTTACCATCTAAATACACACCCTATCACGTAATAAGCATCAACACGTCGCATAAACCGACGGGGTTGTAGATATTGCTTTAGTTATGACAAAACTGCATTACCAAATATTGAAAAACTTGACAATGGATCCAACAATAAAAATCGAATCTGTTGCAAGATGAAAATTACGACTGCAAAAAATAGTACCCTCTCCATCACTTTGTGGGGCTCTGGGTTCTGCTCGACTTTTACGAGAATCCCGGACACATTACCACCCGGAGTTTGGGTTTGAATGGTTCACAAAATTATTTCGATATTCGATTGAGTCTGGAAATGTATTTTGTGCATTTTACAGCGATTGAATGAGTGACAGATTCCTGCATCCGAGTTTGATGGTAAAAATGGCAGTAGGTATCCCAACCCAGCATACACAGGTCGTTCAGATTGTCACATAAACAACGCGGAATTCGGAGATGAGCCACGCTTCCTTGAATTTTATGAGGACGGAGTGCAGGCCGCTGCAGCTATTTACATTTTATTCAGAGAGAAAGTGCAATTGTCATTAAATTTGATTCGTTGGCTGCCCTTTTTCAATTCGGATTATCATACTCCAATTCCACAAAAACTGTTTGTACCTCGAAGTTAGAGTCGGATGGAGAAAATAATTGTGGAATGATGTCAATCTACGCTACACACACATGACAGACAAACAAAAGAAGTTACGCGTCTATCTATGTTTATTTTTTCCAAGTCTTCCGCACACATTCAGACGGTAAATGATCTCGGTCTCGGTCTCGGTGGAAACAGGAGAAAACTACTTAGGAAATCTCATATGAAGGGAAATAAATAGTAATTGTGTTCTCAATAAATGCCAACGATCCTGCTCGAAATGAGCATGCTTTTCCGTCCCAGCCATGAAATCCAGTCCCATTTGTATCTCTTATTCACCACTCAAGTTTTGTCGCGTTACTTACGACAAAAGATCAAGAGCCGTTTCGTCGTTGGATGCATGGGACACGAGAAGAAAAATGAAGATGATGACATCAAGAGACGATGAGACGCACTGGAAGTAAGTGCGTGATACAACTAACGGAATTACAAATTATGGAACAATCTTGTTGCAAGAGAGAAGTGACCTGATCGTCAATATTTCAAGAACACAGTACATTAGTTGCAGAAGAAGTAGTAATGTGTGCCCAGTACAAAATAAGACAATGATTTCCCCACCATCATGGTTAATGGATTCGATATCATTCAACACAGAAATGTCTGACCCTACTAGAAGATGCCATCAAAATGCAATACCTATCTCATATTTTGGAAGATATCATAAATATGAAGCTTGAACTCCTGGTCAGATTAAACTGGACCTCTGGGAATTTTATATGGTTATGAGGTTTGTTTCAAAGTGATAAAAAATGTAATGTGTGTGGACGTTATGTGGTGTTTATTTTTGTAGCAGGGAAATACACAAAATAAGTACACACGACGTCTACATTTGTCACTTTCTGTTAATATTCATATGCATGTATGTACATATGTACATGTTCAACCGCAGATATCTTAATCAAAACGGACTTACATAATGTAAGTTACATTGAACAAACATTTATGACGAGACGTTGAAAAATTGGATACCACAAATTATAACACACGTTCACGCCGATTTTGAAGATGACAAATCATTAAAATTGCACATGACAAGAACATTTATTTCTATCCTTTACATTTTGCACTATGTACATAACTGTTAAAACTCAAAGAAAGACTTGAACCTGACTCAGCTAATCCATCATTAGGAATTTTACTATTTAGAAGAAAGAAATACAATTAATTTCCAAGTTGACATTTCTTTTGACACCCAGATTACCTAGTATCTGAGTCTGACTGTGTAATAATTTACACTTTTGTCCCATTACTTCCCCCCTTGAATTTTGATCGTTCTGTTCTGGCCACTCGTTTCTATTTCCTTCATTTATTATGCAAATATCGAAAAGAACAATGTACAGTCAACGTCCTTGTCATCGTCGTTGTGGTGCTTGTTTGATGACTGTCATTTGGTCTGCTTTCTTTCATCAGAAAGGAAACAGGGAGGGCGAAAAAGGCATAATTATCCTTCCCCACCACTTCTTTTTCCTCTCACCCGACACAAAAGCTTTCATTTGTTTCCAGTCACTCTGATACTGATTTGTCCAATTTATCTTTCGCCACTATCACCAAACACAATTGCATATATGCATTTTTTGTATTCCCAGAAATAAAAACAAGAGAAGAATTTCTGTGTAAAAATTAACAATGCTTCACAAATATGTGTGATGATACATATTTTTTGCCAAGTAGGAACAAGGTATTTTGTTTTATATTTTTATTTTAGGGTCAGCTTTTAATTATGGAAACCTAATATGCACCCCTACATTGAGACAAGAACAAGATCCTGGTCCAACCAAATCATGAACAAATCACGGGCTGTGGATCCAGCTACATTTTAAACACATTTGTAAGACACATAATCCATCCATGATTCCGTAATCAACCATGACACATGATATGCTTGTACCTACAAAAAGAATCGAATCAAACATTTAAACTTGACAGTTTGACATGGTAAGTGTCACCTCCAATCATAGATTATTCCAGGTTTGATAACGATTTCAATCATGCATTTGCTTGGGTAAGTAAGCGACTCAATTATTTTTAGCATGAACGTAATCCGACAAGTATTTTGCATTCAACTCTTGTCCTCTCCTCGCAATTATTTATCACATCTATTAATAATAAATAAGAAACATATTAAAAAATATCTTCATATTAATATTAGTGAAAAAATAATGCTTCCAAAATCTTATATTTCACTATTACTTGTTACAACAATAGTGAAAAGTTGTCTCGGTGGGACAGGACTTTCATGCAAACTCGAATGGGTCCCATCCGGTTCTAGTGAACGTATCAAACACACAGTGTTTCCTGGTGTTGAGAACATTGTTGCACGAATTGGTATCGACCCACAACAACCAACATATCACGGAGGTTATCTTAGCGTCTTGGAAGGAATGGCGTATGCTGTTGATGACCAGGAAAATACAATTGAATCAGAAACATATTCTGTGAGAAAAATATTCAAAAATTTTTCCAATCTCTACTAAAAAATTGATAAAAATATTACGATTTGTGTATTCCCAGGTTTTAACGAATCCCTTAAACTGCACACTGGAATGGATTCCCATCTCTTCCGACACGGATCCCATTCCTCCCAACGCGGTCGAAGTGGACGTCGGCGACTCCTACGTCGGACGAGCAGCTTTTGATGGAACCTACAAATCTGGATGGACGCCTGCCGACCATGGTTTTTTGTACGCTGCCATGGACGGAAGAGTCCTCAAGTTTTCGAAGTACGAAATCCTAACTAGTGAACAACCATCCCTTCACTTGTCCCTGACCAAGTTTGACTTTTCGCCCGCCGACCTTGAAGCCATCGAGAGAAACACAAAATCAGAGCTGTTTTCGGTCGACGACATAACCACGGCAAGTTCACACAGAGTAAATTATAGTTTAATTCGCGAGGCAGTCATTGATGAGCACTTTGAGATTAAGGAAGATATTTACGGTTGGGCTGCCGTTTCAAGCTTGGATATGCACATGATATTTTGGTACGGATCGCCCTCCCTTAGGGTGAAGGATTTGGAGGTAAATATGCATCACGCGATGGTAGTGGGGATCAGGACGGAGAGGGAACGACATGTCAAAATTAGCGCCACATTTGAAATAGGCAGTAGTGATACGAATATATACTGCTCGTATGCAACGATTCATGAGGATATGGACATCCCATTCATAGCGAGGGGCGTCTTTGGGCCGGCTCGAGGTCAGAATTGGATCAGCCAAGAGCACATTAAAGAAATTTTGATACAAACTGGACGAGACGAGACTACGTTTTCTAATTTACCGGATGGCACAGTGCAAACCGTGGTGGAGGGACAATTAAATGGACGATTATTTTTAAGGACGTCGCTAAAGACGCATAATAATGGGCCGGATGGATATGGACCTTGCGATAGACATCTCATTCCATAGTTAGTAATATTTACATAAATATGTTTGTATGAATAAAAATCGTAAAAGTCTTTAGAATAAAGGGCACGCAAATATATTTTTTATGCATAATTTTACTTTGTCCTTAACTTGTCTCAAAATTAATATCTAGGGATCATCCCTCCAAGCAAATGGGAAAAGGGTGTAATTATAATCGGTATGCTTAAGTCGTGGCGTTTTAACCGAATAGTAGCCACAGCTTCCAACCATCTGTTCAACCCGCGCCCTGTAACCTTCCTTAACATTAAATTTAACCACCGTTGACGTCTCCAAAGCCCAAGTCTCGATGTCCACCTTTGTCCAGTTTTGTCCAGTTGTTTCACTGTCGTCCAATACTGTCGCAAATCTGTTGGATAAATCATACGTCAACCAGAAAGGGGCTTCCCCTAAGTCAGAATTCATTCCAAATCCCAGGGCAGAATCTCGATAAAATTCCTCCATCAGATTTGCACCCTCCGATTCTAACGCTGTGGTCATCCCGATTCCCACACTTCTGTAAAAAGTGCATTCAATCGGCAGCTTGCCCTTGACGTTGTCACATTCCTGGGCCAACTCCCATCTTTCCGTTGGAACGCAGGTTTTCGCGGGGCTGGGAATATCGCAACATTTTACACGAACGTTATTAATTCCGGTTTGATCCGGTCCAGCTGATGTACAATTTTTGTATTATAACCACCATAAAATTCAAGTTCAAAATTAACTGTTCAAAAGGAACTTATGTATGTACCTCGAGTTTGGACTTGGCTCTTAATTCCGCAAATGGCTTGGCGTTCCTTGCAAAATTGTGGATCCGTCCATTGTCCCGTGTAGTCGCCGTAACCTTCCACATACTGAGTGGCACTGTCCTTCATGTCGGAACAATAGATTCGTATATTGTTTGCACCCGTGTTATCCAGTGCGATTTGAGGGTCATCCGACAAAAGTTGGAATCCGATGGCGAACCCTTCACAGGCAGTTGGTAATTCGGCTGCCGATGCAGTTCCGCCCCGTGGGGTTACTATGATCTTGCCCGCCTTGCCGTTTGGATCGGAAAGACCGGCACATTCTAGCGAGATGGAGGTCATACCGAGGTTGTCGTCATTATCAGGGCCGTCATTTTGCTCTGGTATTAATTCCCCACCATCCGGAGTGGAACGGACATCAATAGCTCGCACGTACATATTTGGGTCACAATCATTCCAGTCTGATTCCCATTTTCCGTAGTTCGTTATGACGGGAGAGTTAAGGACAATGTATCCAATCGTTGTATGGGAAAAGAAAGATATGGTTAAGATGCAAACCAAAATCATGCAGGTGGTCATCTTGCTTCTTGTTGGGTGCCCAAGCACTGGATGCCAACTGCGTAACTGAATTCAGGTTTATGATTTATGTATAATACGAAACCTGATTTATCACAAATAAATTAATTTGATGTCGGCATATCTCTTAATTAAATACGTATTTAATACGTGCAAAACTGATAATTCAATACATTGCACATCATAAATGAATAAATAAAAGTATTTATATCTCCCGCAAAAATTAAGTATTAGACTTTTTTTTACAAAATTCCAAGAAATGCCGACAATTTACACCATCAATTAAACTAATTGTTGCAATTCCAACTTGTTTATTGGGCCCACTACTAAATTCGTATTCAGAGGTTGCGTCACCGTCGCGAAGCCATGCACCATTCCAACTTTTATTACCTCCTCATCCATTTCATGGAGAATGATAGGTTTCGAAAATCTGGCATCTCTCTCGATAATTTTTAATAAATCTGGGGCCTTTAAAAATGGATGCGTTACGATCGCCCCCTCTGCTTCAAAGTATGTTTGGACGTTCCTTTTCACCAATGAAAAGCAAACCTCGACTACACTGCCCGGTGGAATATTTACCCTTTGCGTCGTGCTAACCGTATCCTTCGTATCTTGTGAGTAATCCCCGCCAATATTGATTTCCAAGTCTAATGCCAGATGGAGACTGATAGATCCGTAAAATCGTTTACTGATTAAAATCCAAACGGCTAGTTCGAACTCGACCTGACCATTAAGCCCAAGGGCGACCCCACCCTCCAAAGTGATTGTCCACTTGTTAGACGTCTCTGTCGAATGGGTGACCGTTTTCGATATCTCGGCGTCCCCCTTGTTGCTCAACATGTCGCATCCGGCGTTGTTCGTTTCATAATTTACCGTCGTTTGGTTCAAGGTGCGAAAATTTTGCAGGTGAATATCCAATCTTAGCTTGGTGTATGACTTTAAGACGAATGTATTGGACCACGTGACGCCTTTGCGGTATCCTGAAACCCGTATAATATTAGAATAAATGTGTTTTAATATTTATGCACATATGCAAATTATCTTACCTTGATTTAGGCTACACAACTCTGCCTTGCCAAACTTTAAACTACAAGGAGTCAAAGTATCCGAACTGTTTTCAGAGTTCGATAAGACGCCTCCAATCAACTCGTTTCCAGTTCCGATGGGCACGAGGTATTTCATGGGAATGAGTTTGTCTTCAACAGAGATCCATTTCAGGGAACAGTTGAATGGATTCGTCAAAATTTCCGACCCAAAATCCTCCTCATTCTCCTCCTCAAATTCACCAATTCTTGCAATTGTAAAATTTGAGAAAACTTCAACAATCCGAAAGCCTTCTGAAATTTTCTTCCTTGCCAAATAAGTCTCTTCTCCATTTAAATTTTCTTGCAGCTGCGTATTGACCAATTTTGATGGGATGTTTGACACCATCCCGAAGTACCCGGGTGACCATGACAAGGGACATGGAATAAACTCTGTACCGTTCAAGGTCACCAGAAGCGTGTAAAATATCAGTAAAACCTTTTCTAATTCGTACATTTTTAGAACACTTTAAGACAAGGCTCGAGCAGATTTCTATTTTTGCTTTATGTCAGTGACTCAATCTGCTCTCCAATTATGTCGGTCGGCATAATTTTGCTACATTGGTTAGATAATCATATAGGTAATCTTCACTCATCAATAAATAACTTGGGCATCATCACTATTTTATTTTTTATTACTCAACTTTTGTTAAAACACCGACAACCTTGTCATCCTTACAGTGACGATCATTTCACCCACATTTATTGTCTTGCTGCACAAAAATTTACAATCGTAAAAAAATGGAAACTAAAATCTTTCTAGTTTCCCTACTAACATTTGCGCTAATTTCGAGTCAAAAAGTTTCAGGACCGGATCGAATTCCTTGTGACCTTGTCTGGGTTGCTGATCAGGATGGGAGGTCCCCCGACCAAAATATCGTCGCATTCAACAGCGACGATATCGTGGCAAGAATTAACATTTCTGGCCTGCTAATTCCAGCGCGTCTAGTTCCCGACGATGGGAAAGCATACGCCCCACTTCTTTCTGACGGGTCGATTATCGAGTCGTCAACTTATGAAGTTCTGACCAACCCCAAAAACTGCATCGTCACTTGGGAAGAATCCACCATGACGCAAAATAATGCCGTAATTACTTCCGGATTCGGTATTGGGCGTGCCCATTTGGTTGACGAAGAAGGTAACTTTAATACCGTCGGGGGTGCCATTGTCGATGGGAAGGAACTCCATGTGTCGATCAATGGGAAACAGGAAATTGCTCAAGAGTTTCAAGTATGTGAATGAAGAACGTCACGAAAATCATGTTAATTTCACATGTTTATTTAATTATTTGAATACAGATCCTCACATCGGTCTACCCTCTTATGCACTGTCACCTGTACAATTTTACCATAAAACTAGATCAAATCACGCCAAACTACGTGCAACAAATCGAATCAGAAACCATCACAAATTCCGGTAGTGACACGACACATGAAATTAATCATGGCGGGACAATTGAACAGCTTTTTCAGCTAACTGAATCGGGGCTTCAATGGAAGGGGGTTTCGAACTTGGATCTGTCCCTAATTTTTGGCAATGTTGCAATAACCTCGTCCGACCAAATAACTATTCAAGATGGTAAAGATTATCGAGTAACAATTAGTCAAAATCGGGACTTGAGTTTTAAAAAGTCGCTGACCTTGAGACAGGAGGGTGACGATAACAAAAAACTCTTAGTTTGCTCCGCCGCTAAAATATTTATTGGAGAGGTGCAATACGAAGCTTGGGGACGCTTTGAGTCGAACGGAATGGGGGGAGATGAGATAAGCGGGATACTTGCTAATCGTGGCAGTAACGTCGAGTTTACGAATGGCCAGAGTGCCGTGGCACCTGTGCGAGGGGTGATTAAGGGACGATTTTACATGGGAAAGATGACCTCTGTCATGCCAATAACGGATGAAGGTGGAAACTCTTGTCCATCTATTTAATGTAAAGTTACAACTTGATTCTTGTAAAAATTAAGCTTTATAACTTACTTTGATGCGAAATAAAAATTCATTCAATTTCAAGTAAATGTTAATTTATTCTTCAATCATCGTGAAACTTATTTCACTTCCAAAACCAGTATACCCTTTCGAAATCAATCGTACTAAATCCTCCTGGGTCAATGCGTCCTTCACAATTTCGAACTTAAGCCTGTTCTTGCGTTCCGCATCAATTTTTGCCTTCATTGTGGGGCACCCTCCCCATTGATAGGCCATCACAGGATTAACTGAAAAAGTCGACGTGACCTTGCCCAATATGCCACCAACTTCTCCAGAAATACGGGAAGTGACAGAGTCTTCATTAACATGCGCGTTTTTACTAGCAGGATGTTTCTCCAGCACTAAAATATTTTGAATCGAGTTTCCATCCAAACCAATCGCCGAGAAAGTAGCATCCGCCTCATAAAGTATCTCCAATTCCGGCAAATCCATATCTGAGCAGTATTGAACCGAGGTCAACGGGGGAACGGTGATGTCACGAGTAACGTCCAAGTCCACATTTTCATCCTTGTCTGTGTTACTTCCAGTTGTTGTACCGGAACCGCCTCCCGTGCCGATAGTTACTGAGTTGTCCGTACCACTCCCCTCTGATTTAGACGAGCTATGTGAAACCGAAGTGGATATCTCGACGTCGGCCTGTTGTTAAAAATAATTAATTTTAATGGAAAAAAAATATCTACTATGAAACCAACCTTATTCAGAATTGTGTCATCTCCACCATATTGAACGTTCAAAAGCGCAACTCTCTCGGAAAATGTTACGTTCGACAATTTGACAGTAAGTCGGGGTGTCAAGGATTGCAAAATCCTTAAATTTAGCGAAATGGAAGACGTCTTAAGGGAAGCTGTTTCCCGGTTGTAGGAAATTTTATGGGTCACCCACTGATTTTTCTGATCATCCTTGGCACGACCGATGACATGATTCTCGTCAAGTTGTACAAATGTGGTCGAAACGTTGAATAAGTAGGAAGTGGAATCCACGGGAAAATCGGACCAGTCCAGGAAACAGTTGTTTGGATTTGTTAGCACCGCGTACTTATTCTTCTGTATCGTGGAACCTTCCTTATCCGAGTAAAAGTAGGCGATTCCATCATTTTTAAGGATACCGGAAGTTGCTTTACCAAATAGCGGTGTTCGCACTATCGCGATCTTCTCATAGGTTTGCGTTTGGTCAATTGTGAATCCAGAAGTAGAGGAGGAAATATAAATGACGTTCGAGGGTAGTTGCTTTCCTCTCGCGTGGTTAACCCATTCCAACTTGCAGGCAATCCCATACTTCAAAATGTCAACATTTATTGACGTAATGGCCTCTTCGAGACGAAAAGAGGTGGTTTCATGCTGCACAAAATACACGAAGAAAATTATGAAGAAATTTTTGATCATGGTTAATTTCGAAAGGTAAACTTTAAAAATTCAACGTTGAACCTGTCACCAGTATCGTGTTAATGGTTTACATTCACTTTGCGGTTTTGTCCAATAAAAGCATCAATGCGGCTTTAATTGGAATTTTAATGGTCCTTAAGCTTTATAAAATAAAATCGGCATGCTCCAATTAGCAAAATGATTACAAAAATGAATTTTAGTTTTCGGAATAAATAAATAAATCCCAGTATAATCTAATTCAATCCTAAAAAAGTACCGACTTTAGTTATTTATAACTCTTATGTATAACGGAATTTGTATGGTTTTACAATTTTGTGTACCTGTTGTAGAAAAACGAACCAAAATCTGAGTGTGCTCGGCTCAACTTTTAATGCAGCGTAGTCCAGCTAAATCGTTGGTGCCTAATGCTTCATAGAAATTTGATTTGAATTTCAGCCCGCCTCCAATGTTAATCAAGTAGGCACGTGATTTTGGCGCGTAGAAATTCTGTCCCGTTTACTTCAATGCACCGCAATACTAACTAAATCAAACGGTATCTATAGTATGTATTTATATATGTACTATGTACCTACACATATATATTATCTTAACAGATTCAAAAACTGATCGATACTGTCATTTCTTCCGGTAGACTAGGTTTAAACACTAAGGTGAATAAATATTTGCATATCGTCATACTCATGCAAATTACTTTGATTTATGATACTCATCTCCACCTTAGTGTTTCTCACGGGTCGGGTTCTTGCAAATCCGAAACCCGAACCCGAACCCGGTACCACTGATCCGAAACCCGAGGCCAACCCGAACCCGAAGAACCCGTACCCGTTTCCAGGGACCCGAACCCGAACCCGAACTGGGGGTTCAAATCCGAAACCCGAACCCGAAAACCCGAAAATATTTTTAATTTTCAGGCATGGGCTGAATTTGTACTTAAAAATTATTTAAAAGCTTAAAAATCAACAATATTTATAATATTTCAAAAACTGCCCCAGAGTGGCTTTCCGAGACCTTTAGAAATTTGAAAATCAGTTCAAAATTGGATAATTGTTTCCAGTTTGACGTTTCCAATATTATTACTTATGTAATTAGGTATGATTCAGGTAATTGCATAGCAAAATTAGGATAAAAAGTCGATTTCTTTAATAGTTCGCACCATAACACTAATTGAATCAGGCTCTTGTAAATCGTTTACCTGTTTGGAAACCATTGAAATTAAACGAATTTAAGACAACTAGAAATTGGAATTACTTACTTCAGTATTGCAACCGCTGAAGCACATGTAGTTCAACAATGTTTCTAATATCTTTTTGTGATATCGATCCAAAAAGGTTTGATTCGGGTTTCGGGTTCTTAATCCGTACCCGAACCCGACCCGAACCCGAAATTTTGACATGACATTTTTCGGACCCGAACCCGAACCCGAAAGTTTCGGGTTCTTAAATTTCGTATCCGAAGCAGAACCCGAACCCGAACCCGAAACCCGAAGTAAGGACCCGAACCCGTGAGAAACACTAAGTCTCCACCTCCAAACTCTGAGATCACAATACGTGAACTATATATTTTCTGGACATGTAATTAACTCTGGACTCTTGAAATTCCCACCAAACTAAAAATTCGCTGAATTTAGCTGAAGCAGTTTTAAGTTCAAATTTATTTTTCAATCATCATCAAACTCATTTCATCTCCAACATCGATATGTCCTGACGACATTAGTCGGACTAAATCCTCCTGCATCAATGAGCCCTTTGCAATTTCAGACTTAAGTCTGTTTCTTCGTTCCATCTCAATTCTTGATTTTTGCCCGTTGCACCCCGTCACTGTATATGCCGTTACAGGATTGACTATAAACAAAGACGTGACCTTGCCCAGTATGCCACCAACTTCTCCAGAAATACGGGAAGTGACAGAGTTTCCATAAATATGCGAGTCTTTTTCAGCAGGATGTTCTTCCAGTAATAAAATTTGATGAACTGTCTTCCCATCCAAACCGGCCGCAGAGAAAGTCGCGTCTGCCTCATAAGTTACTTCCAATTTGGGCATCGACATAATTGAGCAAGATTCAATCGAGGTCATCGGAGGGACGCTGATGTCGCGAGTGACGTCCACATCTGCACTTTCATCCTCGTCAGTTGACGATCCCGTTGTGGTCGAAAAGGAAAAATTGTCTCCTCCAATGTTGATGCTAATTGTTGTCGAGTCGTCTGTACCACTTCCCTCTGATTTGGACGCGCCATGTGAAACCGACGTGGATATCTCGGCATCTGCCTGTTATTAAGCATAATTTAGTTGATCTAAATTCTAAAAATAATAATTTAAAGCTCAACCTAACCTTATTCAAAATCCGGTCAGTTCCATCAAATTCAACGTTCAACAGCGTAACCTTCTCGGAAAATGTTACATTCGCCAATTTGACTGTAAGTCGGGGTGTGAGAGATTGCAAAATCTGGAAATTCGGGGGAATGGACGACCTCTTAAGGAAAGATGTTTCTCGGTTGTAGAAAATTGTATGGGTCATCCACTGATTTTTATGGTCACCCTTGACACGACCAATGACGTGATTCTCATCAATTTGTACAAATGTGGTCGAAACGTTGAACAAGTAGGAACTGGAATCCAGGGGAAAATCGGACCAGTCCAGGAAGCACTTGTTTGGATTTGTTAGGACTGCATAATTATTCTTTTGCACTATGGAACCTTCCTTATCCGAGTAAAAGTAGGCGATTCCATCATTTTTAAGGGTACCGGAGGCCGTTTTACCAAATAGTGTTGTCCGTACTATAGCCATTTTCTCATTGGTTTGCGTATGGTCAATTCTGAGTCCAGAGATAGACGAGGACATATAAATGATGTTGGAAGGTAGTTGCTTTCCTCTCGTGTGGTTAACCCATTCCAACTTGCAGGCGATTCCATACTTCAAAAGGTCAACATTTATTGATGTGGTGGCCTCCTCGAGAAGAGAAGATGTGGTTTCATGCCTCGCAAAATACACAAAGAAAATTATTAAGAGGAAATTTTTTATCATTTTCAATTTCGAAACTTAAACTAAAAAGATAAAACCTTTCGTTAGTTTTGTATTAATATATGAAATCCCTTTTGCGCTTGCCCCAAATATGTAAATTTATTCCATCAGTGCAGCTTTAGCTGGAATTTTAATGATCCTTGAGTTTTAGGGTACTCAGATCAGAATCGGCATTCTCTAATTACCAAAATATCAAATGATTACGATAAATGGATTTGCATTCTCCGAACACATAAACACAAATTTTTAAGCAGTCCTAAAAAGAGTGCCGACATATTTATAGCACTGTGATTTACATGTTTTATAATTTTATTAATCACTAATCATTTGTACTCTGCCGACAATTTAGTAACTGCTACGTCATTCCACAAGAACACTACAAACCTCTCTGCAACCAAAATGCAAGACATTCAAGTTCTTTCATTTTTCATTTTATTTCTAAAAATCGTAAATGTCAGCTCTACTCAAATCTGCAATTTGGTATGGGCATCCAAATATCACACAGATCCAAACAGTCACCAAACCACATTAATTACCCGGTCTAAAGCATTCGGCCAGTACCACGTTGGTCAGTCTACAGACGAGACACTTACCACTTTCGTGGCAAAGGGGTTCATCACCCACACTAAGAAATTCGACATACTGCAAAATCCAAACCATTGTTCTACATCTTGGGAAACCTTGTCCCCAACCAGTTTCAAATTCGCTGTCGCCACATCTCCCAAAAATACGTCGCTCGTTGCCCGAACATTTTTCAACGACCACTGGTCAACTTGTGAGCTTCAAAGAAAATCAGCATCATCTTCATGCACACTTATCGACACTGCAACAAATTTACCTATGCAAATCACCGATCTTAATCGCATCCAGATACTAAATTCCTTCAAGAAATCGCCTCTCCGCAACGTCAGCCTGCTCCAAGAGGAACCCGCTCTCCTCGCAGTGCGGTATCCTGCAACCGACTTTATTCGAAATAAAGCCGACGTCACAGTCACACAAACCTTATCGCAGACACACGTCCTCGAAAAGTCTGTTCGCACATCGGTCGACAAATTTATGGACATTGACGTACACGTTTTGAAAGACTTGTTCATGTTTTCATTGGAGAAACATAGAATTACAAGAACGATCAAGACGGACAGAAAGGACGTCGAGACGCGGAGAACGATCACAGTCCCGGAACGAACTTCAATTAAAACCTGCACCATTATGACAATAACGAATTCTCCGATACAAGCCCGGTACGAATATGACGACAACCATTTCTCAGGCAAGGGAACCATTGAAGCAGCAGCAAATTCTGTTGACTCGACATACATCGTCCTTCCCGTTGATATGAGATTCTTCCAGAATTGTATTGCTGTAGCGGAGGGCTACAATACCACGGAGGAACTGACTAAAGGCCCTGGCTTATCGTTGGAAGATATTTATAACAGATTTGGATTGTAAATAGTTTAATTGTCGAAATAAAGACAATTTATTCCGCATAATTATGAACATTATTATTTATTTAGCGTTAATTAATGTGTGATTCAATAAAATTAAACAACTCTTCCTCGCCCATCCCTCCGACATGATTCTTCTTCTTTTTCCAATCTTCCATCATTCTCACTGCAGTCGAACCCTTGTAAGAATTGTAGGGCAAGACTAAAAACTCCGATTGCGATGGTGCCGACCCCCTCAGGGTAGAATTAGTCGTCATGAGAACCTTATCCCCATTCAAGGTCATATTCTTGCTATCAAGTCCCGCCTGGCTAAGCACGCTTAAAATATCAGTCGCATTCCTCCCCACGGCAGAAAACTCAATTTGCCCCGTAATGATTAAAACAAAGTCATGTATCACGACCGTGCTGATTGACTCGACCGACGTTCTCGCCGGTACGTCGATGTCTCTCGCAACCGTTACACTGACCGTTGTCACCCGCCCGTTCAGAGTGGCACGCTTTTGACCAAAGGCGATATACCCCGCCAAATCGGGAGCTCTTCTATCCAACCAGTTTTTCATGATGTTGAGGGATAATCCGCCCTGGATTTTTATCATAAAGTCGAAATCCCAATTTAAAGTTTTCGTCACCATTTTTGAATGTGATATTGATTGGCGTAAGCTGACATCGGCTTTGTTTTGGATCATGTCGGTTCCGATGACTTGAATGTCGAAGAAGTCTTCCACGACGGTGTAGGAGAGGTTGGTGAATTTCATGGAGAGTGGAGTGTAGCTGAGGAGTCGATGAAAATTCTAAAAAAAGTAGGGTGACATTACTTAGGTACTTGATTTTTTGATACTTTTTTATCCAAATTTTTTTTCATACCGGGGTTTTTTGCATGTTTCCACTGTTATTGTACGCACATTTTCCTTGACTGATTGTGCATAGTTGCCATTGTGTTGAAGAAAGCTTTCTTCCAATACTTGTCGAATCTGTAGAAATATTTACACTGAAAGCAACCATACTTTTATTGTGGGATGGAACCCATTCGATCAGACAATTGTGTGGATTTGTAAGAACATCGTATGACCAGTTTGAAAAGTGTTGTCCATTTCGTATTGAGTGTGCGATCTGATTTTTATCCAAAAATGCGAGAATATTTTTTCCAAATAATTTTGTACGAGTTATGGCATTAGGGTTTCTATTTTTGCTGTTAAGTGGGATGTGGTCGCTGGGAAAGGGATTTCCTTGATTGTGGGGTTTCCATTCTAAGGGGCAGGTAAGTGGGATGAAGGGCAAATTGTGATTTGGCTGGAGGGCTATTACAGTGAGATAAGAAACGCTGAAAATAAACAGTTTTAATAGCATCTTGATATAAAAGATGCGAAATTTAGGTAAAATTCACAGGTTAAACACGAACTAAATAAAATGTGTAGTTTGATTGGCAGAGTGCTGAAGATTATCTATTTTTGTTAATCTTTATACAATTAAATTAAGCCACTTGTCGGTATAAACTCTGCAAATAAAATATACGGTATTTTTATTATTAAGGATAAATGCGTGACTACACCTACATAAAACTCGATTGATTTATGACTGAAATTTGGTATATCTGTGATGTCTAATTAATAAAATATGTGTGAGGAATTTCAACTGCATCTAAATAAAAAGTAATCCCGTAATCCTATTCATGCAATTACTTTATTGATTAATTTTAACCGACATCATTTAATTTCGCCGACTACTGCGAGGATCAAATCATCAACTTGTCTCCATCAAACAAACATAACTTTTTTTCATTTTCGTCATTTATCTTTCTTGCTCACACAACTTTTAAAAAATTTTGCTTGCTCAAAAATGAGTTTCATATTGACTACCATCATGACCCTAGCACTGACTTGGTCGAAACTTACTCTCGCGATTCCGATCAATCTCCCTTGCCAATTGGAATGGGTTCAATACGAAAAATCGGATACGGCTCTACTCGATCGTGCAATTCGAATCGACCACTCCTCCTCCCATCTTATATCCCGTTCTAAAATTGCAGGATTGTGGCAACTCGGCCTTGGAGATGAGCTCAGTGGAAAAGCATCATTCACTTCGAACGGCAAGCTCCTCGAACGATTCGACTTTCAAATCCTGACGAACCCAAATAACTGTGCCATCAATTGGACCCCCTTCTTAGATGCCAATTCCTGTAATTTCGTCCCCATTTCGGATAAAGCTCAAACCTACATAGGAAGAAACCTAAACTCTGACCAGAAGAAATACACACCTTGTTACATAAAAAATCAACTCTCCGCAAAATGTGACGAAGCCCTGCAATCTTCCACCGACCAGGTAAACTTCATCGTCTCCTCTGTGGACATGATCGACCCGGTGGAAACGTTTGAATTCTCACTCGGAGAAACGTCACACTACGAAAACAATGGTGACGCAGAGTTACATCGAAAAGTTTCATTTGTGAGACGAGACACGAATACCAAATCAACAATTACCGGATTTGATACAAGGTTCACGCAGGATATTCAGATTTGCAAAGGGAGGAATTGCCAAATTGGACCCATTGTTCTTTTCAGCGCTATTGTGGTTTCCATTACGCTCGAGATCCGTTTTTATATCAGTATCGATTTCTCATTGTACTTCGGGCTTGATCGCACCACAACAGAGGTGGATACAGAGTCGGATACGGACGCCATCGATGTAAACATTCCGGCGGGAACTTCCGTCCAGGTTTGTCCTGTTGTGATAACATCGACTACAGAAAGCACGGTGGTGCTGAATGGAGGATTTTCACTTCCGGAAGAACGAGACGGTGGGTGTGACCGAGGGAGGAAGGAATTTGAAGGGATGTTGGGGCGAGATGGATTATCTGCTAGAAATGTTTCGATTACCAATCAGTTTGTCAATGTAGAAGGTTTTAAATATGGCAAGGTTACGAAAGAAGGACCTTACGATTTTGAAATTTTTGTCTTGCCGTTGAACGCGTATAAAGCCAGCTGTGGAGACATTACGAAATTATTTATTAGTAAGAAGCAGTATTCGAAGAAAGAAATGAAAACTTTGTTAAATTTGATGCATAATTTGTAACCGGGTTTTGTATGCCGGTCAATGGTTAAATTATATTAGTTGGTTATTGTTATTAATTATATGATACATATGCATATCGCCAGAATCTTCTATTGCATAAGTGATGTTAATTCAGAAAACATTTTGTTTATTTAATTACTAAATGCTGTACAATAATTATGTTTATTATTTAAGTATATGTACCCTATCTGTATATATTTAAAAAAATGTTCAATAGTTTTAATTAATTGGGGAAAATACAGCTTAAAAGTTCATATATTTAGAAACCACGTAAATATGAATGCATAAATAAGCTTTTATGAATTTGCAAAATTTTGGTAAGTAACGCCGGGTTTAGACTTCACGTTAGTATCACGTTCTCCTCCCAATCCGATTTTTTGATTGGTCGAAATTGTTAATTGTCTTAGTGATATTTTTGATTAGCAATGATGCTAACGTGAAGTCTAAACCTGGGGTAATTAATTAAACAATATTGTTCAAACTTCAGCACACGAAAATGCTAAGTAGTCAGAAAAAATCGATTTCATGCACATTTCCATGAAGTAAACGATACTACACATATTTGCATACATATGTACTATGACTTTCTTCTGCATATATGCACAATGAATAATAATGATAATGATGTAACTTGTTCTTATTTTATGACCTTGACAATTCTATTAATGATTGATTAATTTGTCAAGGTCACATGCTGTGCATTCTGCCCGAATCAAAGCCTACATACTAAAAAAATATGTAGTATGTCGTACATACAAAAATCTTGATATTCGTATAAGGGTTTGGAGAGTAATTTGGAATGAGGGCATGCATTTTTCGAAATATTTAAATATTTAAACGTACGTAAACGAGGAAGACGGTTTGAAGCGAAGAAATCTTTTACTAAATATTTAAATAACATCCCTCGTGGTCTAGTTTTGAATAATTTAATTAATATTGGAATATCGGAGTGTAAAAAATCGTCCCCTCTCAAATTTAATTTACCCAGATTTTTTTACACAAACCCAACGTCTCTATCCGAAGCAAAATTGGACATTTTTGAAGGTTTACTGGTTGACCATGATTTAGGGCTTTTCTGTGAGACATGGTGGAAAAATGACCAGGTTAAAAATATCCCGCATTTTAATACTTTCGCTAGGAACAGAAATTATACTGATAGTAAGGGGCGTATAAAAAAGGGTGGTGGATTAGCTATCTTTCTCAGGGACACATTTAGAAGTAGAATATATAATCCTAATGTCAAAGTCGACGAACGTATTGAGTTTCTTGTAATATCTGTTAAACCTGATTTGTTGCCTTACTCACTTTCAAATATAATTATTATATTAATTTATATTCCGCCCCAATATGTAACTGAACTAAGTCAAGAGCTTAACGAGTTTTTAAGTAATGTGGTAACCAATGTAAAAACCAAATTTTCAATGATGAGTAAATGAAAATTCCTAAAACACAAGTTCATAATGTGCAAACATGCTACATATGTATATATGTACATATGCAAATCCTACATGTGTAAACATAATTTTTGCTCGGTAAAAAATCTACCGGTTGAACCTCATGAAAACCATGCGAATAAATTTCTCAATGGAGAATGGACCAGTATAAATATATGCAAGTAGAAGCTATGTACATATGTATGTATGTAAATGTGAAGTGCTATTAAACATAGAAATTATGCAATTCGTACAACCAAAAACTTTCGGACGTGCAAAATATCCTCTTAACCAATTTATCTGAATTAATGGATTTATGAAAAAAAGTTAATGCAATGCATCCTGGAGATTGTATACATGCACAGATTATTTTTGCACGTATCCATACTTCAAACAAAAATACTGACTACGTGTACATGATGAAATTTGTGATTCGAATTGCTGCGTCACAACCAATTTATTACATTTGAGTTCAGACTTATGTAACTCTGCTTTTTATGTCGTCCCTAAACTGTACAATGTTCAATAGCATTGTCCACCCACATCATATCAAGAGTGCTGAAAACATGACAATGCAACCATCCAGCATTTTTTATCTGCAAATTTGTATTCATCATTCACTCCAGTGTTTTTTGCTCATTCGTACAACATGAAGCTGTACCGGAGCGATATCCATTCCATTAATTATTGGCCCTGAGAGAAGTTGTACACAATTATGTAATGGATACGGCATATTAGCTGATACACACGTATAAATATAGCACAGACTTTACAATCTTTCTCCACACTTTATTCAGCTGGTTATTCTGAACGTTCCGCTGTTAAATCCCACAAATATTTCGAAATGGCACAATACAAAATTATATATTTCGGAATCAAAGGGCGAGCTGAAGCGTTCCGGATGATATTTTCTGTCGCCGATGTGAAATATGAAGACGTCATCATTAAATCGGGAGATTGGCCTGCATACAAACAATGTGAGGGTTATTAAATTCCAAATTTTCAATAATTTTTGTGCTGTGCAGTTTTCGATTTTTTTTCGAAAATTATTTCAAAATTTGATCTTTAAGCTACACCTTGGGGTCAACTTCCCCTCTTGGAAGTCGATAGGAAGCAGCTCGCCCAGAGCTCCACAATTTGCCGGTATCTTGGCCGACAGTTCAACCTTTGTGGCGAAAATCCATGGGAGTCGGCAAAGTGTGACGAATATGTGGATGCAACTAATGACTTGATTGAAGGTATTTGACGACTAATTAGGAATTTTAGCTATGCAAAATTTACTCACCATTCATTTTCCCCATAACCAAATTAACAGAATGGGTCGGATTTACATTTCTTGAGACGGACGAAGCCAAAAAGGCTGAGCGTAAAGCGAAGTTCATCGCCACTCTGATCCCCAATTGTTTCAGCAAATTGGAATCCATCAAGGAAAAGAATGGTGGAGATTTCTTGGTGGGGAAGAAGCTAACTTGGGCGGATATTAATGTGGCTGATAAGCTGCAGATTATCGAGGACGATGTTGATCCCACCGTTCTCGAGGGATATCCTAACTTGAAGAAGTTTAAGAATGCTGTGCTTTCTCTGCCAAAAATCAAAGCCTACGTGGAAAAGTCGGGATATTCGTACAAGGGTTTGGAGAATAACTTGGGAGAATAACATAAAGAGATGAAAATTTTGATTACTCTGTTTCATTTAATTGTTGATCATCTAACTAATCAGGTGGATAGGTTCATGATATTAAAAATTATTTCGTTATAATGATGAGCAAATAAAAATTCGGAATATGGAAATTCATCATATGCGAACATGATTTTTCCACGCTAAAAATCTGCCATTCGAACTAATCGAAAACCATGTGAATAAGTTTGACAAGGTATTTACGATAAAATCTGCAGAAACTTCTACTGTTGAATTAAGTTGAATATGGTCGATTGAATAAGGTTGAAGGACATAAGGGGCACTACCCTTTGTACTTGTTAGCTACACTTTTTCCCGATGCATATATACGTTATTTATCAAATGAAATTAGTTGTGATACAGAATTTAATGTGCAGTTAAGACGGCACGCAGTTTATTCTTTTAATGTAATGACTGTCAGGCGACATATTTTTTTCTAATGTAAAAATGATATGCGATACCTCATGAAAACTTTCACTTCAGGAAATAAGTTAATCCTCACCAGTAGAAACACAGTTAAATACATACATCAAAATTTAATCCATTCTTCAAGTTCATTATCATTCCATGCTTTCATCTCAAATATGAATCATAATTCCTAACGTTTTATGAGGTTATTAAAACAAATTTTTTTGCGATAAGGTGAACTCAATATGTGCAATTTATATATAGGTACTTTATTTCGTAATATTTTAGAAAATACAGGAATTAAATACATACATAAACAAGCATTTTAGACTAATAAGTACTTTTACTTCAATAACACACAAAATTGATTACCTATGACTGTTTCTATAAAAGAATATACATATACATAAAAAACATAGCACAGATATGAAATAAAATGTAAAATAAATATAAAATAAATAGATATTAGAAAATTAGATAAATAGATAAATAGAAACAAAACTCGACTTGATTTCAAAATTAATTTTTTCCATGCAATCAATAGACGACATAAACACATATGTATAATGTAACGACTTAATAATAATTATCGCATCTACTTCTACATAAATATTCTATATGTATTATATATTTGTATATCATTAGTGGCATATGGTAATTTAGTTGAACATTAAGTAATTGGAATTTTAAAATAACCGAATTTGCACTATAAAAATCAGTAAACATAAATAATTTTAAATTTTCTTTCAAATACAAATGATTCAATGAGTATAATTTTGACTACAAGAATTTTATTTTTAAGTTTTAACGTCTTTCAGCTAATAAAATTTAATCAATCCGTATAACAACACAATGCATGCATAAGTACATACCAAATGTCACTAAATATTGCAATCTGAAAACAACAACAAAGCAGAATATTGCATAAGCAGGTGTAATATGTAGTAATGCATATGTGCGCGTACATTAGATATACCGAGATTAAACTACTTATCGCTTATCATTTACGTTTCCTTACATCACAATACCTAATAAATCTCCAAAAATTCGAATTTCTTACATATGCAGATGAAAAGCGTGAATAAGTAAGATAAACTTATTAACGTCGAAAAAAATATATTTATATCGCCATTGAATATACTTGAATATGATTTTTCATCATTCTAACGTGCTAATGTTTAACCTGGATTTGTAGAAACTGTGTAATGTTTTTTTATAAATTTTGGGGCTTTTCTAAATTTTTTTTAAAATATTTTTTTATGTTATTAATTTTACAGAACGAATTAACTTAAGGTTTTGTTCTTCTCAATTAAATCATACTATTTATGTAGACTTATTTGTGCTTATGCAACATTTTCTCTCCATTTCAATTTAATTTATTAATTTCGCGCAGTAAAAATAAGGACTCAACGTGACGTTAATATATATTTTTTCCTACTAAATATAGCATATTTGCATTAAGATATTAGGGTTGTTTGTGTATTTTGGATGCTGGAAAGATCTGTAATGGCTATTTACGAGTACACAAAATACATATGCGAAATATAGAAAAAGGTTGTGTTTCTAGCCGGAAAGTAAATAAGGAATCTTATATTCGATGGGTAAGAGTATTTCCTCAAAATGCTAATGACCATGTTGACACTATTGTTAAACTATTTAATTTGGTTAATAAATGGTCTTGCGAAAATTTGCACAAAATGTTAATTGTGCAAATGACATTGGAATTTGAATTGGAATAGCACCATTCCATTTTATAGCCTATGGACATACGTATTTGCATTTTATACATTTTAGAAATTTTAAGCTTAAAATTTGTGGCTGAAATATTATTGAATAAATATGTATATTTACATTCTCAGTATATAAATACTGCAATAAGGCATGCCTCAAAATGTGCAAATCCAATTTTTTTAGTTGCTTTTTTATACATTTTTTAAAATGTTTTTTTTTACATTTTTAACATTGGCAAAATATGCCCGTCACCTTGCGATTTGGCTTGCACATCAAGAAATCGATGTGCCCTAAATATTGATGTATATTAAATATGCAAATACGTATTAGCCTTTTTGAAATAAAATACTGCATGGCGATAATTTGTGCACTTAAAATTACTATCTGCTACTATTAAAAGATTTTTTAATGTCTTTGTTTATGTATGTAATTTACATATTCCCCTACTACCTACTAGGGAACATGTTAAGTTAAAAAGTTGGATTTACTACTGAAAAATGTTAATGAAGAAACAAGTTAACACTTTTCGTGTTCTATCGCTTCTTATCCTTAGTTAACCATAAAACTTAATTAATTCATTTTCCATATGAAACTAGCATAATCATATAGACTTTTACACAATTGTCTAAAGCTTAATCAACCTCAAATTGTCACCACGCATCACTTGTGTCATGTACGGAGAACTAAGTCAAATTACATATAAATAGATCCGTATGCAAGAAACTGATGAATCTCTATCTTCCTTGTATTATACCATCGGTAGCTATGTAGGAGAAAGCATAATCCTGCATCATGCAAAAATTCTACTATTTGTAATGGCTAAGCGATTCTGAAAATTCTTACTATTTTCAATCGTTTATAGAAATCTGTAAGAACGTAATTAATAGTTAGACTACAGCTAAAATTATAAGATTATAGATTGTCCTTCAGCATTATATTATCTTGGGCGCAGAAATCTCAATAAATTTACTGCCCATTAAGTTTCATTTGTCCTTGATTTGGATGAATTGTCTGAACTATTTATATTTGCAAGGCTCATTCTCCTTATTTCGTATCGCATGTGTATGTATATCATGTGTATATCTCTACAGTGGCAGTGCGTATTTAGTATTTAATCCTTAATATTTAAAATCCAGCATTCTCGGTATAAATTTATAGGACAATTTAAAATAATTGAATGCATACGATAAATACACCGGTGGTTAATGTACAAGTGCATTTTTCCAATTTTAGCAAAGCAGATCATTCAAGAATCATAAATTCATAGTTTATGCAAATATTCCATCTCAACTATTCTAACTAATTTTTTGGACCTTCAATTGGTCCTTAATTATGTGTGTAACTTTACGACAACAGAGCTTAAATATTCATGACAAACGGCCCATTTTAATTTTGCACAAATGTAAAAGTCCATTGTAATCAATTCGCCAAAACGTGTACTCTTCTATGTACATTCACAGACAACTAATCCTAAAAATTGCGATAGCCCAAAATTGACTAGCTTCGGATTTGCGAAATTGGTTTCTTTTAAATATAATTCTTTCTTCGCAACTTGCAGAGAATAAAACAAAGCGTTCTAAATCACGCTTCCTTGCTGATAAGTATGTAAATTTAGTGGAAATACAATTATTTTAGCATTTTGCTTGTTATTTTTAAAATGGTAGGGAAATATGTATATAATTATCAATAAAATATGCACATCATAATATGTATTCACTTAATAAGCGATAGCAAAACATTGTAGTACGCAAGAATGTATTTTAAATTTGTAACTGATGAGTATGCTATGGTGGCCTTTATTTATTTTGAGCATCAAGTTATGCAATTGTGAATGATTAAATATATCCTATTAAAAGCTGTAAGAATATTTCGTGGTTCAATTTACTTAAGCATATTTGCTCCCTACTACTTAATTACATATGTACAAATGACCTTTGACAGATACAGAAGAATATTTGTATCTACGCGCACGGAACATGATATGAATTTATTTTGTGCATTTAGCTAAAGCTTCGCGTACAATACCTACAAGCAACTTACGAGTTTCATTAGTTTTAACGATTTTACTGTAATCCTCAGCTTTCTGTTTGTCCGTGTCAGGTCGTAACTCCGCCATCAAAAGAAAATACGTGACAACGTAGATCAAAATCTGTAATTAAAATTGTCGAATGTGACTCATTTTGTGCACAAAATATGGTGCGAAAATACAATGAATCGTATTTACCTCTCCAAGAATTTGGTACGTGACGTCGAAAAAGTCCAGACCTTCCAGGCAGATCGGGTTTCGGGTGACGATGACAAATTCTTGCACCTGTTCACCGCTGCCAGGAGAAAATACTGCTCGTTCCGTTAGAATTTTGTCCACCAGATTTGTAGTCTTTTGAGATTTACAAATTTTTTATTTTAGTAATTATTGTGTATTAACTTATTATTAATGAGAAATAAATTTTACGTACATTAGCTGATGCCTCCGCAGCTACTACTATGTGGCCAAGCTTCATTACGACAATAAAAATATCAAACCAAGCAATTTCTCCTTGGGTTAGTTGGTAGACAGCATAGACGCAGAAGGGAATCATCTGCATTATCGTCGCTGTGGCAATAGGGCCAATTGCGGAATTGATAGCGTGAGTTTGGGCCTTGATGCTTCTGAACACGTCACTTGCCTACCAACAGCACAAAATATTTAGCTAAAAGATAAACCTCGTCTAGCATTTCCTATTTCACTGACTTGTTTTATATCCAGTGGAGAATTGTCTTTGAAGAAAAATTTCCTCGCGGCCCTTTCAATGAAATACGCGGAGAGAGACGCGCCCCACAAGATCAGATCGTTTTGGATAAGCAGCATACTGATAATGACTTTGAGCCCCATAATTGATCCACCCACAACATAAGAGTAAAGAAATGATTCGGCGCTAGAATCCCAATTCGCGAGATTGTTGGATTCATTTCTAAGCTTTTGGAGTAAATTATCCAAC